CTTTAGAAGCAGCCAATCAGTATTGATGAGAACTCAAATTATGATTAAGAAACAAAAGTTATGAAGACAAACAATCATAAAGTTTGGAAATTTTCAAAGATGATGAAACAGAGGAAGAGAGTAAATACGAGAATAGCGTCGATGTCGTCTTCAGGAGAAAGCTTTTTGCCTTCTCGGCGAGCTTTCTTCTCATCTGCTTTGGCGGTTTTCCTCTCAGTTTTCTCCTTTCCTTTACCGGCCTTCTTCGTCTTCTTCCCCATTTTTGTTGTGTGCCTCAATTTGCTGTTTACAGACGCAGGTATGGAGGCTGAGACAGAAGAAATTGCGATTACGATGGAAGTAGCCCTTCTAGTGACGGAAGAAGAAGACGAAGCAAATCCTCTTCAAGGCCCATTTATGGAGGGAAATTTGTAGTACAAGAAAATTTGAGGCCCATTTACTTATATTACATGATTTTTTTCACATTTTATAAGGAAAACAAAACTATGTGAGTTGAGTAAAGCTTTTCTTCAAAAAATTACTGTGAGTGATGAAAAAGACCAAAAAGGTTTCATATTAAAAAAAAAAAACTTTTTGGATATTAAAAAAAGAAAGAAAAGAAATGCTCCCACGCATTATGCATCTCATTTAGAAATTATGCAACTCGCTTTCACAAACTCTTTCAATCATTTTCACAAATTGTTGACTTTCCTAGCTTACCTTCATGAAATGGCTAGTGGCTAATATTTTGTTGAAACAAGAAAAGTCCACATTTGCGTTGTTTATTTGTTTTTCCTTTGACCTATGAACAATTATGAGAAAATATTTCAGATTCGCTGAACTCTTTTAATATTTTTATTAGATATTGCAACGAAGTCTCAAACGAACTTTTCATTCTTTCATCTGTTCTTACAAATTACAATCCTCACTCAATTTGTTCATAAAGTTGTCTGAATTCTAGGTAGATACCCTAATTTTGAGCATAAGCCAAAATGCCAAGCAAAGAAAAGGTGGTTTTTGCACGTATCAACGAAAATATCATTATGAACTTTATAAAATTGTGTGATCTCATAAACTAATTTCGTATATAGCATCTTGTAAACTAGCGAGTTGTTTGGCAAAATAGCAACTATGTATCACGTATAAATATGTGTTAGGAATCTCATTTATAAATATAAGGCTGAATACTGTGTATATATAAAGAAATATGGTCAATTCATTCATTATATGTATTAGGTATAATTACAAGTGCTACAGAAACTCACTTGTTTTCTGTTTTGGTGCAACTCACTTGTTATCATAGAATTCTATAAGGTGCTTTTATGTTCAGTCCATTCCAACTTGTTTGTATTTTATGTTACAGAAACATTTTCGTCGGTGCGACACCATAGTTGGCCATTGTTCTAATTGTTTTGAGTTAACATAATATTGCACTAGTTTTTATTCAACTTTTTGTGATTTCACAAAATGAAAAAAAATTCCCCAAACAAACCAGAGGGAGGCATAGGGTGAAATGATGATGAGAATCAGAGAAAAGACTGAGATTTGTTCAAAAGTAGTGCCTTTCTTTTCAGTCTCCTTGGAATTAGCAAATCGCTGTTCGCTATAAATATGCCCATACCATTAACTTCCCTAAGAGTATAAATGATTGTGCTAAAAATTTGTTTGGGTATGAATGTTAATTTGTGCTAAAAATAAATAAATGTAGATGTTGAATCTTTCTAACTCTTGAGAAAGGTTTGAAATGAGCATAATACTAATTTAGTATGTACACGACTGATTATGAGTACATCGAACCAATTTTAGTCGACTGGAAACTACTCAAGTTGTATAAAAGATTCCAAATTCAAGTATACAATGTTGCAAATGTTTTGGCAAATCAAGTTAGACGTAATTCACAAAAGTATGTAATCTTTTGGTGTACAACTTAGTAAATTATCATATGAATGACGTTAGTAGACAATAAAAAAAAAAAAAAAAAAAAAAAGACTCGATCTTGAGCGACCATGGGATTAAGTCATCGCGACGGATACCATGAGAGCTAACTATGGGTAACAGTTTATCCATTGTTCATGTACTTTGAATAACGTATGGATCAAGTCCCTTTCAAAACTCTAATAACCAAAAATATGAATGACGTTAGTAGACAATAAAAAAAAAAAAAAAAAAAAAAAAAGACTCGATCTTGAGCGACCATGGGATTAAGTCATCGCGACGGATACCATGAGAGCTAACTATGGGTAACAGTTTATCCATTGTTCATGTACTTTGAATAACGTATGGATCAAGTCCCTTTCAAAACTCTAATAACCAAAAGATAAATTCCCACTTTATATTATTCTTTGATATCCTTCCTGCACACAATTATTTCTTTTATATGTTGGTGTTTTTCTTGTCAAATCACTCTTTTCTCAAAAGGGTAACCTCTTCTCAATCTAGGTATTGAATGAAACGCCTTAAAATATACACTGTTATTATTTTTTAACATAATCTACACATACGCATGCCAATGGTTTACAATATATCTTCATACGTGTATATATATTTTCTTGAGAGACCATATATATGGTTTACACTATATGTGTGTATATAACTATATATATAGGTGCATCTTTACATTGAATTATTCTGATGGAATATTTATAAGTACTCTTACCATGACAAAAGTTTGTATATTTGGAAAAGTATGCAATTTCTCTTATAAGTTCATGCGATGATGATAAAAAAAAAAAAAAAAAAAAGACATTCAAAACTCAGAACAATAAGCATTTTTTAGGAGTATCCTGTTGATCTAAGTCAATGATCGATTTCTCTAAAACGCTAAATTATTTTTACTTAGCCACATGAATATAGGCATCATTTTTTTGGTGCAAGAATATAGGCCTCATAACTTTTCTTGTTGTTAATAATGCATCATTGCATATATATTAGTCAACAATATTCCCACAAGAATAATTAACTGGAAGTAAGGGATGGATATGAAACAAAAGTGTAGTGCGATAGTGCAAATTCAGTATAGAGTCTATAGACATGTTACGATTTTCGACAATGATAGAAGAGACGACCAATGACCAATAACGTACAAATATGGTCTAACAATAAACATAATTTTTTAGCGATCGAAAATCATAAACATTTTTGTTTACAATAAACCTAAATGTATAATTTTATGGTATAACGATAAACATAATTGTTATTTGACACTTTAAGCAGAACGCTATGGCACAAAGCTCTTTACGTTAGCATAAAATAAGAGCAGGCCTGTATGCCACTTTATCTTTTTGTTAAAAAAACATATGATGCTCTAATCTATTATAGAAGAAGCCAAAATTCTACATATATCTCTCTTTTAATAAACACTAATTTACAGAAGTTGAAATTCGACCGATGGAATCTCACGAGTTGCGAGGACGAAAAAAAGTTTTAGGGGCAAAACCAAATTGCATGTGGAGTATTGTGGCTGAATGATTAACTTAGCTTTTGTGCATGTATAAAATAAAATTTAATTAGTCCCAAGGAAATCAATAAATAAATCAAATTCTGTATTCTGGAATTTAACCGGTTTAGATGAAATCAGTAATGAAATACAATAAATATTCCAATGAAATACAGAATTTGAAACAATTTTGTCCAAAATAAAACTCCTTTTCATAAATATTCATTTTCGTGAAACAATGACAAGATTGTTTCAAATTCTGTATTTCATCGGTGTTGTCTATTAACAAGTACATAACACATTATTCCATTAGCTATTATTATACACGAAAATGAATATTTAAAAGTCTTACCAATTTTATTACGTCAATAAGACAATAATCGATCCCCGTAGTAGTCAATGTACTAAGTGCTAATTATATACGTTACGATTTACTCTTTTTGTATCACAACTTGTCATGTATAAAAAAACCTCTACGACCTTATCCAGCTAAATAATACTATCGTACAAGACATTGCATAAAGAACTATAGCCTATAGGGTTAAATTTTCGACAGTGGTAACTTTTACTTTGAACATGTTTACCACTCTCGGCTAATAAGATAACTAGATTAGAGTGTCTCACAAGTAATTTTCCATTAAAAAACCTAAAATTAAAATATTTTAGGTGAATATCTCATTTATTTTCATTAAAATACTAATATTTAATTTAGTTTTTAGTGATGAAATATTCATTGGGAGATACTCATGAATGGAGGTACTTAAAGATCTTTGTTGTTATAAGTTACTAGGAATTGTATTCCGCGCAAGCGCGGGGTTATTTGCATATATTTTTAGTTATTCATCATCATTTATATACTTTACAAACTTGCTCTTAATGTTTATCTTTTATGTGTTGTTCTGTATATATATGATATTGATGTTTATTTATTAAATATCTATACAAACAAAAAAAATTGAGTGATTTTTCTTTAATGTTCGAAATAGTCAATACTTTAGTTTTTTTTAATATCAAAATCAATAATTTAGTTTTATATATAACTTATTTTTATTACTTAAATTTAACTATTAGCTTCAAAAAACATTTTCCATAAAATTTGATTACATACAATATACTTTTGGTTGAATAATAAATCATTCAGTGATATTATGAAAATGTATGTATTAATTGAATCATTAATTTTGATTTAATTATTATTATTATTTTTTGCTGATGTGGACACTCTAAGAGGAGAAAGCAACTCGGTCAAAATAGTAACAATTTTCTAATCAGAAAATAGTAACAATTTTCTAAGAGGAAAAAGTAACAATTTTCTAATCAGAATCTCGGTCAAAATAGGCTTAGACTGATAGATTCTCTCCACACAAAGCAAAAGCTTATCACGTGGCTGTGAATTTTAAGTTGTTTTGGCTTTTGAGTGTATTTGAGTTTCATTCCGTCAACTGTGTATATTCTATAGTTTGTATTCACATATAACGTGTATTTTATATTATTTCGTTATATATGTATGACATCCACTTCCTTCATTTTCTCCCTAGATTCCTCTTGTTCTAGTTATGGGAAGAGAGAAGAAGTTCTGCAAGTCATGGAGCAACATGAAGAACCACATAACACCGTTTCCAAGAGTCCACTCGGTCGTTTCTTCAAGCTTGAAACAAGAAAAACAACTTTCACAACCGAACTCCGAGCTGCAACCGCCACATTCCTCACCATGGCTTACATCATTACCGTCAACGCTACCATCTTAACCGATTCCGGCGCCACTTGCTCCTTCCACGACTGCTCTTTCGTCGCCGGTTCTCCCCTGCCTGGTCCAAACTGCGTCCTCGGTTCCAACCAAGGCTACGAAGAATGCCTTGGGAGGGTCAAAAAGGATCTCGTTGTGGCCACTTCTTTATCAGCTATGGTTGGTTCATTAGCAATGGGTTTGTTAGCTAATCTCCCTTTTGGACTTGCTCCTGGTATGGGAGCAAACGCTTACATTGCATACAACGTAGTAGGCTTTCGCGGCTCCGGTTCCATCTCTTACCACACCGCTATGGCCATTGTGTTGCTAGAAGGATGCGCGTTTCTCGTGGTGTCCGCTTTAGGACTCCGCGGGAAACTATCCCGTCTCATCCCTCAGACGGTGAGAGTGGCCTGCGCGGTAGGTATAGGAATGTTCATTGCGTTCGTCGGTTTGCAAATGAACCAGGGCGTTGGGCTCGTTGGACCGGATAAGTCAACTCTAGTAACTATAACCGCCTGCTCCGAGACGGATCCCGTCACCGGAGCTTGCCTCGGAGGGAGAATGGAGAGTCCTACGTTTTGGTTAGCTGTGGTCGGGTTTCTCATAACGAGCTACGGTCTAATGAAGAACGTAAAAGGGAGTATGATTTACGGAATCGTGTTCGTTACCGTTGTTTCTTGGTTTAGAGGCACTCAAGTCACAACGTTTCCACACACTCCTCTTGGAGACTCAAACTACAACTACTTCAAGAAGGTCGTTGACTTCCACAAGATCCAGTCAACGTTAGGAGCTATAAGCTTCACGGAGTTTACAAAGAGCGAAGTGTGGGTCGCGTTCGCTACACTCTTCTACGTGGACCTCCTCGGCACGACCGGAGTTCTCTACACGATGGCAGAGATAGGAGGCTTCGTGGAAGAAGACGGGAAGTTCGAAGGAGAGTACATGGCGTACTTAGTCGACGCCGGCTCATCCGTGGTGGGGTCCGCATTAGGGGTTACAACGACGGCGACTTACGTGGAATCATCGGCGGGGTTGAGAGAAGGAGGGAAAACGGGGCTAACGGCCGTTATCGTCGGAATGTATTTCTTGGCGTCGATGTTTTTGACGCCGTTAGTGACGAACGTCCCGAGGTGGGCGGTGGGGCCGTCGCTTGTGATGGTTGGTGTGATGATGATGGGAGTCGTGAAAGATATTAGATGGGGAGAGACTAAAGAAGCCGTCACGGCGTTTGTAACGATCTTGCTCATGCCGTTGACTTATTCCATTGCTAATGGGATTATTGCTGGTATTGGTATATATCTTGCTCTGAGCATGTACGACGTCGTTTCGGGATTCGCCACGTGGCTTAACGGGGTTAGGAAGAGGATGATGAAAGAGCATAATCAAGTTTCTTCCGACGACGCTACCGTTGAGGTTGTATGAGTTATCGATGAAAAGATGACGTCAGTTGACCGGTTAAGTGGTGTGAGTGTACCGGAAATGGTGGAAGTTTCACATGGTTGGTTGTTGAATGACCATGCAAAGACCCGTCATGAATGGTTGGTGGTTTTCTCTGTTTCTTTGTTTTTCTTTTTGGTTAGTTTTGGTTTAGTTTGCGTAGGAGAGAGTAGTGAAGTAACATTGGATGCATTAGCTGCCATGAAAAGCGTGTTGTGATAATTCATGGCTGCTTTTGCATGCATTGTTTTCTTAGGGTTTTTAAATGTTTCAACCAAATGCTTTTCTTTTGTTTGTAGCAAATACTTCAATAGTAAAGACATTTGGATGCAAACACGCGTTTTGGCTTCCATATGATAGATTGATAGTTCATATTAATCAAAAACATTGAAGTTTGTAAATCTATTTCTTAACTAAATTTCTGAGTAATAAAGTAAAATTGAACATTGGAGGCTTAATTCGAGATTTATTATCAATGGTTAACTCACTGTCTTCTTTGAATAGCAATGTTCATAGTTATGAAGTAGAGGAGCAGTGCTGCCAAAAAAAGGTAATAATTCAGCTTAAAATTGAACAAAATTGTCTTAAAACAAGTGTAGACGTAGATGAATCTTGATACTTACACCCAATAATAGTTTGTGGTCGAATAGTTGAAGACGCACCGGTTGGTCTGTCAACTACATATACAAAGAAAATAATCAACTTTTCAAATAAATTAAAATGAGATTCGAGTGAACCAATTGGTTAGAAAAATTTGTTCTAAATGTTAAACCGGTCCACTGAACAACCAGCACCTCTGACCGTTAGATTTTCAATTTTCAAATAATCTAATTACAAGTCGTTTCTTTAATTTTTTTTTTTATAAATATTAGAAGACAATTTCATTTAAACTATATACTTCAGTACCAACCTGAGTCACAGTTTGTAGTGGAATTGTGGTGGTCGCAGATGCAAACATGCCTAAGCCCTCCACCATCGACAGATTCATAGCCACAAGTCCCTGAAGTTGCAACACACGCGCGACAAAACGCATCACTTCCTTGTAGCTCGTACTTGACTCGTATCCCATAAGCCCAATCAGAAGCTACTCTTAGCTTCAACGGTGCAAGATTGTACGCACTACTATACCCTTCACACTCCAACTTACTTAAGTTGATCGCTTTCACGGATTCGAACCCCACCGCACAGCACATGGGTGGACCCGACCCGGATGTTAGACCTGGTTTTCTGTATCCGACCATGTCCCATGCTGGACACGACATGTACTCTTCGCAACTCATTCCAGATATGTTGTGGCATGGCAGTTTCTTTTCCGGGAAACCTAACAATAGGAGTTGGTAAATTAACCAACTTTAACCATACTTAACCGAGTCCGAGTACCAAATGTGTAGCAAATATCGGTATGGTTTGGTTATTATTTTGGTCAGGCGTTTTACTATTTTTTGAACCTTAAAATTTTTTTAAAAAGAATTGAAAAGGATTTTAATGTACCAAACTAAACCAAATGTAGTGTGAATTTGACCGAAATATATATCATATTCAACGCAGTAGAAACTCTATAAATTGATACTCGATAAATTAATAAACTCTATAAAATAATAATTTTCACCGGTCAAGTCAGACCAGTGTAAAAATTAGCAAAATTCGATAAAATAATAAGATAATAATATTTTTGAAACTCCTATGTAAATATATGGTCCCATTAATATCATAAATTAATAATTACCATAAATACAAATTTATGTAAATACATATCTATGATAATATACTAAAATATAAGTATAACTTTCACTTCTTTTCTACTAAAACTCAAATATATTTAGAATTCATCCCTAATTTTAGAATGAACCTATACAAAATATAAAAACTTTTAAAATTTCTTATTTTTATTTAGTTTAATATTTAATTTAATTATTTTTTAAATAAAACAACTATTTTTTCAAAATTGATAATTTAATAACTCATAAATTAATAAAATATCAAAGTCCCAACTTTATTAATTTATAGAGTTTATACTGTATTAACTAAAAAAGCCATTAAAATCATAACAAAAGCATCCGGTTGTTACTAACCTTGAAATATGGGAGATTTTGGAGAACATCCAATCAACATAAAGACATTATCAGAAGTAGGATTGAAATAAGGAGCTCTCCAGTCCTCAGCTTCAAAGCCATTGCCTTTGCCACCAAGCACAATCGTTTCACAAGTGGACATGTGAGGATCATGCAGCGTTATGGAGTGATACGCATAATCAATATCCAACACTCTATAAGAACCTGAACTTATATGAAACATCAACACATCGTTCATACAAAACAAGAGATCTCTATACCCTGGATGCCCACATCCATTTCTTATCCCAAACGGATAATCAACCGTTATATTCCCACAGTATGATCTACACGCATCCACAACACAAAGCTCTGTGATTACTATAAGCGTCAAAAGAATCAATATTTTCATTTTTAGTTTGGTTTGTGTTACAAAAGAGTGATGTGTGTGTGTAGAGAGAGTAAAGAGTTTATATCTTAACATTGCTTAAAGCTTAAGAGATATATTCTTTACTTGTGAGAACAATAAAGCTAAACCGATATACTTTTTATAACACATGAGCAAAGGTATCTCTTAGGAACATAATACAAAGAAATAAAGCTAAGTACAATAGAGCCTGAGCATCCTCATTGAAGCATTTAAATACCTTTAAAGCTATACATTCAAGATCGTTGAGGATCAGGTTTATAAGATTCTCTGTTCCTCTTGTATTTCCAAAACTCGTCTTTCTTGCCTCTCGGCTTAGCGTTAACCCGACCGAATTTGCTATTGATTATACCAAGTATAGCACTCTTATCCTCTCTGTTCTTTGTCTTTGCCTTGTCTTCAAGAATCGCTCTAAGCTTCTCGTAGGACCTCGGGTCAGGTACTTGACCGTTTTTAACCATCATCTTGTGGTAAAAGAACGCTCTTTTGAAGTCTCGAACACGAACAAACGCGTAGATCATAGTCGAATACGTGATGGAGTCAAGGCTTCAAGTTAAGGCAGTCATTTCCTTCAACAGCTGAGGCAGGTTCGAATCTTGTCCTCCTCGTGCGTAAGCGTTCATCAGCATATTGTAAGTCATAACAGTAGGAAGCAAACCCATTTTCCCAAACTCCGAAACAACATCCCTCGCTTCGATGTAACGACCTTGCTTGGCAAATCCATCAAGAACAGTGTTATACGTTACCCTTGTCCCACAGATTCTCTCTCTAAGCATTAGTTTCCAAATCTCCATCAGCTTTTCGACATCACCAGACCGTCTAAACGCATCGAGAAGCGACGTGTATGGTTGTGGCTGTAGAAGAGCAAAAAAAAAATTCTAAAGCCAAATAGATCACCAATCATGCTCGATATATATTTTTTTTTAAAACCTACAACCTTTTTTCATTTATTTCATTTTTCCTTCCTTTTTTAGTTTTGCAGAGCAAAATTTCTAGAGCATAATTTTAAAGGCTCTGAATTTTTTTTCTCTCGCTTTTATTCTTTCCAAATATATTGTTTTTTTCTTTACTTTTTTCCTTATTATTATTTTCCATATTTACCTATTTCTTTTTTTACTAAAATCCTGCAATCAATATCCTAAAGCAACAATTTCACAGCCACAGCCATAAAACATAAAGCAAAAACTCTAGAGCAAAAAAAAAATGCTAGAGCAACAAAATCATTGTCAAATCATATCCCGGTAACAAAAATGTTTGTGTATGTCTAATGACCAAAACTTACTTGAAGATATTCAAATCATTATATAGGACAAACTTTATTAGTAATATATATATATATAAATATTGTAAAATGTAATGTTAATTTATGAACTATTGTGACGTGTTAATCATTTTCTAAACAGAAATATATTTTTAAATATGTATAGTGAAATTCTTAAAATTAGATGTCAACAGTATTTGTATGTAACACGATGTTTATTTAAAATAACTTCAATTCGTTATGTTAGAACTTAAAATGCTATAAACAACATATAATTTATTTTTCAGTACATTTAACTTACACATCGTGTTATTAGTTTATAAACTTTGATCATAATAGTATATATTTAGCTTTTATATAATATAAATTATGTATATTTTTTTTATGGCTTAAAGAAAATCTTAAATCATTGTTTGTTCAATGTTGATTTTTTGTTAGTAATTTTGTCACGTTTTTTATGCGTTATGGTATACATTTCTTTTTAGAAGTAGTTTTATATTAATGTTTACTTGAATATTTCCGCCTTAAATCTGTTTATAAATACATTTTTGTTCAAAAAATTTGTTAGTTACATATTTGTTTAGAAATTGCAAAATTCAGTTAGTGTTTATTTAATTGCAAAAATGGTTATTAACTCACCTCATATCATGTTTCTAATCAAATCGAGTAATCATATTTGGCAAGTTTATACTACACCAAAAATGAAATATTTCTCTTGAATTTGATGGCAAAAGCTTTGTCTTGACCGATCAAACTCTGGCTGCTCATGAATTGATACACCTCCTGCAATCATTGTGATCATCAAAGAAACAGTCTCCATATCTTCTTCATATGTCTTTCTACAGTATGAGTCTTGGATCAAGCCATGCTTCTCAATAAACTTATGGCAAACTCACACATTTTTCATGAACTCTTTGAAAATGTAGAAAAACTGATTATTCTACCCCTAATAGGTTTATTGCCTATATCTCTTTATCCTTATATATTTTGCCATTTTTGGAAGGTTCGTGATTTTCTCTTATTTGAAAATCGTTATTTACATGGAGATGAAATCTTCTTAAAGGATGTGAAGGATGCCAGACATCAACCTCTTCTTTCCTCTCTGTTGACCTCCATTATCCTCCCGAATACGAACTCTTATTTTGTTGATGTAGGGTGGAATGCTTTCTCGAAAATTTGTTGTATGGGTTGCACTATTAAATCTCCTTTGAATTCTTCTGCTCCATAGTAATCCAAACAAACTATTTACTTTTTCGACCATTTTTTTGAAGCTACGATGAACTAAATATTATATAGTATGCTATTGTTTTCTTGATTTTTTTTTTAGCTCCAAAGCTTGATCTCTCTCATCACCTAAAAAAACTGCAAATGAACTCATATGTCTTCTATACGACATTACGCATTTTTGTTTCTATCTCCATTTTTTTATTCATAGATTATGTAATGTTGAGATCGATTCTTTTGCAATGTTGGCTTTGTTTGCTTAGAACAATTCTTCAGTTATTGTGGTGTAACCTACTCTTTATTTGTAAAAACTTAAGTTTGTCAAAGATAGTTCACCTTAAGGTTTATTTAATTCTTTATAACTAATATTTTAGTTATACAAATGTTTTTTATATAATTTTAAAATTTAGTAAATTATATTTTTTAACAATAATTTTTAAAAATCTTAATTTAATTACGTTGGACTTGTGGAGTTTCTAATTTAAACCGGTTTATTAATTAATTTTCTTGAAACATAAAAGAAGTTAACTAATTTTAAAAATATAGCTAATTTTAGATGAATATAGATTAATATTATTGGCTTTTTAAAATTTGAAAAAAATGAGATGATGATATAGATTAATACTATTGTTGTTTAAAACTGGGAAAAAAATTAGTTATGTAAATGTTTATGTGGACCAATAAGATGCGTTTTATAATTATGTGGACACTCTTAAATGCATTTAGCCTCAAATTTTATATTAAAAACATATTTATTAAAAAATATTAATTAATCACTTTAACTTGGGAATTTCTAATTTAAACAGATTATACTAATTAATTATTCTTGAAACATAAGAAAGAAATTAACTAATTTAACAAATATAACTAATTTTGTATGATGATATAGATTAATACTATTGGTTGTTTAAAATTTGGAAAATTTCTTAATTTTATATGATTATGTGGAATGATACTATTGATAGTTTAAAATTTGGAAACTTTCTTAATCTTGAAGATGCTTATGTGGACCAATAAAATCGTGTTTTAAATCCTATGTGGACGTCCTTAATGGCTTTTCTTGAAACATAAGAAAGAAATTAACTAATTTAACAAATATAGCTAATTTTATATGATGATATAGATTCATACTATTGGTTGTTTAAAATTTGAAAAATTTCTTAATTTTATATGATGATGTGGAATGAAACTATTGGTTGTTTAAAATTGAAAAATTACTTAATTTTGGAGATGTTTATGTTGACCAATAAAATCGCGTATTTTAATCCTATGTGGACGCTCACAGGCTTATAGCCTCAACTTTTATATACTATAGATTTTGTCCTAATATATTTTATATCAAGGTGGTTAAGCCCTGCACACTGAGCAGAGTTGAGCTGTTTGAAAAAAACATATTTATAAGCTTTTTTTTTTCATCATTCAAACATTACAATAATATTTAAAAAGAATACTATCAAAATATGGTCATATGAATAATCTATATATTCAAATCAAATTCAAATGTTATAGAAAATTTTATTATATTATACAATAATTAGTTTCATATATTTTTGTTCTTTTCAAAGTTTTCATGATATTTATTCTCTCGATATTGTAGACTAAATCATTTAAGTTATTTCAAATATATTCTCTTAACAATTTAAACTCCAACAATTTCATCTTCTTCGTTATTGTGCTCTCAATTTAAACAATTTACACAATTTGAACTCCAACAAATATACCGTTTATGCTATATGTTTCTATGTCTATTTTTATTTATTTTAAATAAGTTATTTTTTTGTTTGCTTTCAATTGGCTAAGTTATTTTTTGGTATTTTTTTTTAATTGGCAATGCACCAAAAACTAAACCCTACATATTAATTTAATAGATTCCGCAATATATTAATGTTTCATTATGTTGCTATCCAGTTTTTTATTAGATGTGTTTTCTAATTTTAAATTTATTCTGAAAAATATGTGGATATGATATCAAATTTGAATCAAATGACTAAATATTGATATTATGTTTTCAATAAAAAAAATTCCAAGTCAAATCACATGCTAATGTTTACTCTTAATCATCTTAAGAACAGTTTCTCGGCGATTGTAAAGGCCATTGCCTTACACCACACAATGATTATGGTGAGGAATTTGGCCACGGTTCTGGCTACGATACGATGCTGTATACACGGTAATCTTCTGTTTCTCTTTCTCCTGGAGGCTGTGCAACAGCGATGTTCCCCGACGGTTAAAGTTCATTGAAATTCAAGTCTTTTGGCCTTGAGTCCATTCCAAACTTTGCCAGCGGCGGATCAAGTACATCCTCCATTGGTAAGAGATGCTTTCTTCTGCGATTGGAAATCCTTTCGTCTTCGGTTGCGTCTCACTATTGTGAAGACGGATTGTACATGGTTTATTGGTGTGGGTCAGTTTTCTGGTATCATCCCACTTAAACCAGATATCTCCGTGAAGGGTTATGATATTCTTCATGATGACCAATATTCCAGATCCAGTTTTGGTGAAGGAAATAGATACAAAATCCATAAGATATTCTGGAGACTTGGTCGGCGGATATGGGATCCAGGAAAGATGCCCTTATGGAGACGCCATGAATCGGAGCAAGAGATATTGTACTGGTATAATTTGTCTCTAATAAGAAGACAATCAAAGTCATGGACAAGGAGTACAATCAAGATACAGTAGAAACTCTATAAATTAATAATGTTGGAACTTTGATATTTTATTAATTTATAGAGTTATTAATATATAGATTTAGACTGACATTTATTTTCCAAAAAAAAAAATCAATAATAATAATCTTTTAAATTTTCCTTCAAATTAAATAAGAACTTTCCATTATATGTATATTTTCTTAACTTGTTTTTGATGTTTCTATATTTACTCTATTGTTTTTTTTTTCATACTTGCTATACTGTTTTAAATTTCTTTTTTTTTTCTTTTAGTTTTCATATTTGTTTGATGTATGAGGGATTCATATTTTTGTAGCTGGATATCTTAGGTAAATATATATATATATATATATATAAGTGTTTATATGGTAATTATTAATTTATGATATTATTGTGACAATATTTTACATAGGAGTTTAAAAAAAATTATTATCTTATTATTTTATCGAATTATATCATATTTAATATTGGCCCAACTTAGGATTGGAAAAATTTATTAATTTATCGAGTATTAATTTATAGAGTTTTTACTGTACATGTCATCTCTTGGTGCGAGAGATATTGGGTTAGATTGCAATGTAACAGATGGATCGCAATCTGTCTTCTTCTAAGCAACTACTGGCTTTTAATCACAATGATGATAGCCAAGCAAGATGTTCACATCAGACCGAGGACGATGATGGATAAAGCACAAAACAGATATATTTATCTATTCACGTGGAAGTCTTATCTGAGAAAGAAAGCAGGGTGTAATTGTGCTTTTTCCATTTTAAAGTTCTTCTTAAACAATGTATTAGTTGTAATTTCTTTGATTTATAACATTGTAATCTTCGGTTCAACTTGATTAATAAATAGATGTTACAAAAAAAAAAAAATTTGGCTTCATAACCTCCTAAAAGAATTTATGAGCTCGACATTAATTTCTTCTTCATCGGATATTTGCTTACACATAATGTCAATCTTTCTCCATTAACCTTTTGTAGATCAAACTGAAGAAACTTTGTAGATTCTCGGCAAGAGTGAATAGTTTGTTATTTGTAGCGGAAACCATAAAACATAAATCCAAAATATTCATCCATGTTCAATTAGTCCACAGAGTCGTACCATTCAAAATCACCAATAAACAAAGTGATCTCTGCCAATAAGAAACTCCACCAAATAATGAGATAGAACCAATTGTAAACTTCATAAACAGATGAATACTCGAAGCTCCGAAGTGAATCAAATAAGCAGACTGTGGCCCTCTTGCATCAACCACTCAGTGTCACAAAACCAAATGTCATAATAAAAACAAAAACTCCAAGACGGACTGAGGACTGGAACAATAAACAAATCATGGTTTCTTTGGTGACTAAGAACCAATCACAAACATCTCTTGTGAGCATAACAAAAACTGAGATGTGGCGAAGAAGAACAATAATGTGATTTTGTATATCACCTAGGGTTTCATACATATATAGAAATTTAGGTATAGTTTCAATTTTTTCTTTTCAATATCCTATTTATTTATTTTTACTGATTTTGTCTAATAGTTTTTATTGGTTAATAGTAAATTTATCTTTTATTGGTTTAAATAGATTAATAGTAAGATATTAGCAAGATTTTCATTAAGGGTATCTTGGTAATTTTAAAAATAAAAAATGTTTAAATATTTAATAATAGAGTGTTTAATTTGAATAGAATAATTTTTATAATATTTTTTAAAAAATTTAAATAAAAAAAGAATCAGAAATAAAAAAAGGAAAATTAAAAGATATAATTAAGATTTTCATTAAATGTATCTTGGTAATTATGCAGCTCAGAGCGAACATGGTGCCTTGAAACGAAATTCTGACTTAGCAAATCTTATTATATAAAGCTGGATACGCGCGACGTGATTGCGACACGTAAGATTTTTATAAATTATAGGATCGCAACATGTGTCATTTTTAACTATTATTATTTTTTTCATTTTTTTCCCAAGACATGTGTCACGATCTTAACATATATACATTAAAAGTGACACATGTCGCGATCCTATAATTTATAAAAATCTTACGTGTCGCAACCACGTCGTGCGCATCCAGCTTTATATAATAAGATTATGTAAAGAAAAAAAAATATATACACATTACGTAAAGGAAAAAAACCGAAAATCAGAAAAGGAAAGTAATAATTAGAAATAAATTGTTATATCCATTAAGAAATGGAAAGAAAAATATTCCCATTACAAAAACAAAAAGAAAACCAATATATAATAAGCTATAGTCTTCTTGATTTAATTGTGTGCTTCTATCTTTTGTTTAAATTTTCTCTCTCATTAAGAAATAAAAAATCATGTTTTTGAAAGTTCAAAATATCAATGAAATATTTAACTATAAATCAGTTGGATTGAAATCGAAATTATTGTTGCACTATGTGTCTAATGTTTATGAGGTGATAACATGTGTTAACAAAAGAAAATTGGAAAAATGTGATAACAGAAATATAAAACTAACAAAATAATTATAAAACAGTACTGAAACTAAAAATTATAATTGTACAAGACAAAAACAAAATTGTAAAAAAAACAATATAAAGATAAAACTAACAAAAAAATTATTAAGCAATTAACTAATATTAATAAAAATTACAATGGATCAGATTATGTTTAATATTTTTTTTTTTCAAAACCCGCGAATACGCCAGAAATTATCTAGTACTATAATAATGCTAAATTTGCCGAATTTAGCCTTCAAAATAGAGATTAATATATTTTAACTTAAAGATTAATAATATACAGAAATCGTATTAATATTTTTTAAATAAAATGACAAAGAAAATAATCGCTTTTTGATTTCTCATATCTTTTTTTTTTTCACGCTAACTCATTCTCTCATTTCTCTTCATCAGCAATGAAATCTCATCCTTATATTGAACACCATTTCCACGCACCACAACGCAACATGATTAAAAGAAGATCGAGAAAGAAACCAGAAAAGAAATGATAAAAATGATTTAGAGGAATATCAACATAGACCTTCAAAGAAAGATAAAGAAGAAGAAGAACACATAAAAATGTATTTCTTTTTTTTTTTCTTTCTTAAGAGGAGAAAAATAAGGAAACTGCTAGATTTGAAAAGATTTTTTACATATTTACTTACCATATTAGTCTAGATATTCTCAGATTCCCGCAGAAACTTTATTTATACAGACAATAGAATTTAATGTTATTTCTAGAATATGCATTCTATGAATGGTAGAATCTCAGTTATTTCAAGAATGCGCACTCTACGAGTGGTAGGAATCGGTGTAATTGTTAGATAACATTTTCTACTGAACTGTAGAAAATATAATATCCGTAGAATGTCTTTTCTACTAATTGTAAAATTTAGAACGTAAATTAGAAAACATTTTCTACCACTACTAGAAAGGTGAACATAAGTTCCTTATGTGTTCTACGGGTAGTAGACTACGTAAGATAACATAGAAATCATATTCTTCTGTTAGTAGAAAAGAGAGGAGCAATTATGATATGAACTAGGTCTTGATCTGTGCTTCTCAAGCACGGGATGTTGAGATTTTTGAAGAATTTAGCTTATTGAATAATGCAATTAGTCAGAATTAAATTTTACTTAGGGGTTAAAATAATGTATGGATTGAATTAATTATAGGACAACTCTCGGGGTAAAATAATTTAAGTGGTAAAAAGTTTACCTGAATTCTACTTTGCATATTTAAAAACGTAGAAATTTTAAAACAGATATGTTTAACACATCATTTTTTTATAAAAAAAAATGGCATAACATTCTCCATATTATTCTTCAATTGTTTGGATTTTGTTTTTACAAAACATATTTAAACATATTTATTATATAAATATATACATTTTACAAGGCTAGGAAAATGGTAAATTTTAAAAAGGTGTATTAGGACGAGATGTTCACAAATCTCCCAAAGAATTTCCATGTGTTGTCTTTAATCTTTGCTTTGATTGGTTTATTGGTTCTTTGATTTTAATGGATTTCAAAATCCAAGCTAAAATCCCCCCTTATTGGATTAGTAATTTTAAAACATTTGTCAAAATCCCTCCTTATTCATTCATTCATTCAATGATTCTAAATACTAGTTGAAATCCGTTGTTACTGGTTTAATAATTTGTTATTTAGATTTGGAAATCCACTTTGGATTTTAGTGGATTTGAAAGTGTTTTTTAGTCAAAAATATAAAGAATCAAATCCAAGATAAAAACTTTGGTATTTCAAAATCCATCATTCTATATTTAAAGATTTTTAAATCTTAAATGGATTTAGAAATCATACAACTAATAAACCCCCTAAAGTATCCCATATTAGCTAAGGTGGTTTGTTGAGAAACCATTTTTTTAAAAAAAAATTGATGCTTTTAAAATGATTAGGCTTGCAAATTCCAGAAGTTGAGAGGTATATTTTTAAAAAAAAAAACTCTTCAACCCTCAAGTCCATCATATTAGTATTTGCAAATCAATTTTCGTGAATGGAGCCACCACGTTAACTCTCAGCCGCGGAATTACCGAGATGCCCTTAATGAAAATCTTTCAATTAAATCTTCGAATTTTTCCTTTTTTATTAAAAACGAATTTGATTATTGACTTTTAATATTTTTAGATAAATATGTTAACTACCATATCCCGCCTTATTTTTGGAAGATATTATAAATTTTAGGAAGATAAATAATAAGTAAACCCTAAGATTCTTAACTGACCCTGTATTATATAAATAGATACGATCTTGGAAAAACAACACAATTTTCATTACGATTTGCAATTTGTCTTTCAATACGTAATTTTAGTTCTTAGATCTCATATTCTTCTTCACATGTACAATTGTTTTAGTTCGATCTTAGTTCTAATAAAACTATTTATGAACTGATTATTTGTTATTTTCTGTCAATATCATCTATTGATCCGCTTCTAACTACTTCCTCTCTCACTTTTGTAACAGAAAATTCATTATTTGTAAGCTGATGGAATAGAAGTTCATATATGGTCCCAAGCCAGAAGTATTCTTCCCCAAA